AAACTTAAGTTAACGAGATGATTTTTTATTATGATTATTTAATAAATTAGTTCCGCAACCAAACAAAAATATTTTAAGTTTGTAAATATTATTGGCCTTCCTAAATTCGTACTAATTCTACCACAAAGTCGCACTGGTCTTAAATGTTAAAAAAATATGTAGGCGATGAATTTTCCTGCTTGATTTATGTAGCATACAATAAACATATGTATAAAAAATATATATTCATATATTAAACAGCACAATTAATTTAAATAATCCATAATTTGATGAACACGACCATTCAAACATTGTTGAGACGGCACTGGACAGCACTGACAAAACCTGACGAATAGATTGAAAAAAATGGAAGAATTAAGGACCCATTGGAAATTGACCAAAAATGACAATAAATTTATTATAATTTATTTTTATAAATTTATTATAATTTATGTATTTTTTCCATTTGTGACTCTTTATGGTTTTTGGATATTTTCCAAAATGGATCCTTAAACAGACACCATAGGCGACTTACTACATAATTAGATGTTGCTGGTACAGATAAACTTGAACCGGAACCCAGTCTGGCAGCAAACTGTAAAATACGATATTTCTAACAATCTAAAAATATCTAATTATTAATAAAATTTATGATTTTTTATCTACAAAATATCATCTTTGTCATGTATGTACTTGTGTTAAAAAATATCAAGAAAATTTGACCAATGTCAATTAATGGATGGGAGCAAGTAGTAGTTGGAGAAAAATACAGAAGTAACGTAATATGTAACTATTTTTTTAAAGTAAAATTTCTTTAGCAGTGACTAGGGTGTAAATCCGTACAAATGCAACGGAAGTGCGCTACGGCAGAGTCGAGTATCAATGATTTGTCATTTGCTCTCGATGATATCATTTCTATACGGGTCGATTGTGATTAGCCGTCGTGTATGTGCATAAAGATCTGTCGTTGTATGCGTACCGGCTTCAACGTTGTATGCGTACCGATGTCAACAAGGAAATCGGCATAGATAAATAAACATTTTAAAGTTGCACCGTAGTACAATTCTTGATTTAATGAAAAATGCCTGAATCAGAAGAATATTTTACCCTGTTCCTCAAAAATACTAAAACAAATTAAACATTTGTGCCGTGTACTAAACGTAAGTTTATTGATAAGAAATTATTTCTATATTATTCGTAGTTTCTATAAATCTTTGAAGTTATTAAAATGGAAAATATTTTTAAGGCAAGACAGATATTACAGCTGTTCAAACAATGAGATTATATCGCCAGCAAAAAAGTAAAAAAAAAATACGAGCAGTCAATGAACGTATGTTAATTTTAATTACATGGAGTTCTTCAAATACAATTACATGATGAGTAAAGTTGCGAAATCAATATTTGTTTAGACGTTGTATAACATAATCCACTGTGTGAACGAATATCATAGAATTTATTAATCAGCAATTACTTCTTTTTTCATATCTAAATGCTAATTACAATGACAAACCGATCATGTCATATTTGAAGTAAGACTATAATTACATTATAGTTTTTTGAATATATTTATACATATTTCAATGCTATTATAAATATATAATTTATAATTTATCATTATATAAATGTGTATAATGGGTTGACAGTAATAAATGTGTGCATACGAGTGTTACCAATACTAATAACATTATTCAAAATTGTTATATGAGTATTTTTTTTACTTAAAAGCCATCTTGTACAGTAGCAAATAAATTTTACTTCAATCGCGTGTGAACCTTACGCGCACTCTTTTTTAAAATTGATATTAATGAGTCATCATTAAATATTACATGCAATATGATTGCAATCTACAAAACAAGTATAGATATCTATTTTTAAAATCAGTACTTTTTAGTTTAGAAGGTATCAGTTACCATAGTCGGTATAAATACCAGATCTACTCCAATATTACAATTTCTATACAAAATGAAAAATATCACTTTCATCCTTCAAATTCTTCTTTTATTCAACACTGAAACTACCTTTTCATTCTCCTAATGGCTTTAATCTATCAACTGTCGCGTTTAAAGTAATATCCTTGGTCTAGAAATGGAAACTTTAAAAAGACAATCATGTTGCCAAGAATGAGAATTCCTCTTTATCGAATTAAACTTTACGAAAAGGATTAAAATGCAAATTATAAGATACTGGCAAAGAGAAGGACGAAGGAAACAATAAATTACAAAGCGTGGAAAATTTATATACCAAGAAGAGGATAATTGGTAATCTAATTTTGATAAAGAAATATTTTGCATCCAGGAGAATGGTAGAAGTTGACACTGGGGAATAGAATGGATAGTTTATGTTATTTGTATCTTTATTATTAGATTGATCCATTTTGATTCCAAGAACTTTATATTTGCCACAATATTTCTACTATCCAATTTGGGCAACTTTTAGAACCTAACCATTATGAGGGCATTATATAAAACCGTTAGTGCATTATTACAATTTAATTATAACCAAACAAGTTTATGATTTTTTTATCACCACTCACCGTAGGTGGACTAAGATTAACAGCAGACCCTCTTCTTTCCTGAGGTCCTATACTGCTGTGTCTCCTGATTGGCAAACCTCCTCCTGGTGTGCCTCCTGGTGAAGAGGCGCAAGAAGGTGCTATCCTGATTTTCGGTGTCATCAGAGTATTGTCACTCAAACGACGATTGGGAAAAGCGTTGGCCACTCGAAGAAAATTGCTATCAGGAGACGATGGTGAACCTCCAGTAAACCACCAACCGCCCAACATGCCGGAACCTGTTCGATGTATGCTGGCTACATTTTTGGGAAAGGGAAACCGGGGAAAAGTGACATAGGAGAAGAAAAGAGAAAATTCGCCGTTTGATTATTTTTTGTTGTTAATTTTGATAATGGACAGACCAATGTGCAAGACGACATCCAGATTTCTGGTGCGGAAACAAAAATTGGAATAAAATACAAAACATTGCGAAGACGAAAATAATTTTGAATAATGGAAAGTGATTACCACCAAATTTATAAAGCAATTTAAAAACAATAAGAATTTAATAAATCAATGAAAATCCGTTTAAAATATATACGGTCATATAATTGTGTGGTTATGTAGATTTTGTGGTTTTCGAAATGAAAATGAGTATATTTGTAGATATTTAATGTGTAGTAACTGAACATGAATCACAATAGAAATATAGAAAATGTATCGAAGAAACTAATTGCAAGACGTCCTCCAGATTTCTGGTGGCAACAACAAAAATTGGAATAAAAATACAAAACATTGCAACGACGAAATTCATTTTGATTTATGGAAAGTGATTACCACCATATTCATAAAGCAATTTAAAAACAATAAAAAAATTAATAATTCATTATGAATCTGTTTAAATTGTGTTTCTTCATATAATCGCGTGGTTATATAGATTTTGTTGTTTTCGAAGTGCAAATGTAGATATTTAATGTGCAGTTTCCAATCATAAAATACAAGAAAAATATAAAACATGTATCGAAGAAAATAATTTTGAATTATAATTGCTTCACGAAAAAAATAATAAAAGTAATTGCTAGGAGAATTTTCAATACCAGTATGAAATCAACTAAAAAAATGTATAAATCAAAAAAATAATTAAAATTATGTTTATGCTATGTATGTTTGAGTAATTTTAAATGTAATGATTTTAAAGTGCAAATGTGTATTTTTGTAGATATATAATTTATAACAAATACAATTAACCAAAGAGTACATTATAAAACATTAACCAAATTCAAACACAAATATACATAGAGATTTCCGAACTGAATAAAATATTGAAAAAACATGTAATTTATGTAAATACACCAAAAATCATTGTGCAACAAATGCGTATGACAAACGTTAAAATAGTTGATTATTGTGCTCGAAAATAGCATATGTAATTAGTGCTTTCATAAAATTTGCAATTAAAATTTTGATGATGATTTTACAGCCAATTACGGCGATTCGTGGAATATGGGGATGATTCTTGTATATATATATATATATATATATATATATATATATATATATATTATGTGATTTCTAACGATCAGGTGTTATATCAATAAATGATATTCTGTTTGAAAATTTAATTAAAATCTCTACGATTTGCTTAATATACGCGCTAAAAATACTGAGTTTGATCAAAACTAAGTTTATGAAATTGCATCCACCAACATAAGAGTAGTTATAAAAATAGATAAATATTTTTTATAATTGTTAATAAATTAGTGAACTAAAATCTATTCTAATGCGGTATATCAAAGTTTCCAAAATTTTCAGCTTTAATATCTTAAGAAGCTTAAATTAACTAGTCACGAGGAAAAATTGTAACTTTTTCTATTTTTTTGAAAATGTTTGGATCTTTTTTAAAAATTCAGCTAAAAAATAAATACACGTGATATCTTACTATACCCCTCCCTCCCCCGCGTAATATTTTGTGATTTTTTTTTCCTCCCCCTAAAAACCTCACGTAATTAATGGAAGCCTCCTCATAAAAAATATATTTTGAAAAAAAAAACAATTTGAAGTTGAATATTTATATTTCGCATTTGCGACTAATATTTGATTTTCAGATATTTTTGAATAGTTTTTAAAATGTAAATAAATGCAATGTCAATTACGATTATAAATCTGTCGTTAAGTGAATAAATCAATTTTCACTATTTTGTAAGAGTTAATGTCAGGGTTTTTTCCGTCTAATATCGTGCATTTGAAATTAAAGGTTTAAATTTTATAAAAAGTATCTAATTAATGTCTAATCAATAATGTTCAATTTTTTTAAACTATTTTGAAAGCATAATACCGCGACTTAATTCGAGCAGCTATTGCAAATAATTAATTGTTGAATGTAGTACAATCTTGATAGCATTTTACAAGAGGTTCAGACCAGAATCTTATTTGAATCTTCTTCATAACTGATTAAATTGTCATTAGATTCTTACCAGAATTTTCTTAGTTTCTAACCAAAATCAGAGTTAGATTAACATTAGAAACTGGTGAGGTTTCTGATCTATTATTATTCGCTTCTTATTGAACACGAATTAGATTATTTATAGGTATGACAAATATAATATATGAATTTAAATAAATCACAAAATAAAAAGTAACTATATATAAATTATAAAGTCATGAAATACCATTTAAACATATATAATATAGAATTTAAAATTATACACACGGACAAATCTATTTTTACGTCTTGTTCCAGCGAATTTTAATTTTACTATTATGCGTACATATAAATGTTTATTTTATTATATCTATCTATTTATATTGAAATATATAAATGCGCTTAAGATCGTACCTACATATTATTAAATTGGGTATTAAAGTCAAAACTATTGTGAATATTTTCATATCAGAATATTTTCTATTCAAGTCATATTATTATTGATAGAACGCTCGATCATTAGAACTTAGTTTATATAAAAGTATGAATTATATATATATATATATATATATATATATATATATATATCATTTAATATCACAGCAACAGCAAAAAAAATCTATTATCCGTGGAACTTTTCCAAGAAATATATTCCCGATATAAATCGATCCTTCGTTCTACATTTAAACATTCAGACTCTCAATTTAACATTTTCTCGATGGTTCTGTAGCTTTTGCGCATTCCATCTCGATAAAGTTGTAGTCGTTTCTAAGAAGTTTCTGTAGAACCATCCCTTATGGTGGAGTTAGGGGTTAATAAGAGAACAAGAGATATTCTCGGAACATACTGAATAAGTAGAGCTTAAAGCTTTTAACATTTCAAGGATTTAACGGAGCTTTTAATCTATGCGAAACAAAATTTAAATTTTACAATGTGTTCAATGGAAAGTGGAAAATTACACCCGAAGGGATTATGTTGGAAAGCTAGAGGATTTGTGTTTAATAATTGCGTTATTTTTTTAAATTGATTTTGTTGCAATTATAGTTGTATGATAGTTGCTGATTAACAATAACTGAAGTTTTTGTGGTTTTTTAATTTTTAGATCAATTTTATCACTTATAAATTGCTATTTTTAATTTTTGACATTTTGAGATTTGATCTGGTAAACAGAATATGAAACTATTTTTTATTCAACTCACTTTGATTATTATATTTTATACTGAAGCTTTAAAACAGTTTCAAATTATACTTTCTTGGAAAAGTTACTAAATTAGCAACTAAGCATAACTGAAAATTTATGCTTTTTACATTATTAAATTAATTTTATAATTTATAAATTGCAATTTTTGAATTATGATATTATCTGGTGAAAATTCTTGAAAAAGTTACTTTTCTTGGAAAAGTTTACTCACAATTTAAAGTTATATTTTATTATAATGAATTCATAGTAAATAGCATGGCAACATTAATATCAAAATCCAAATGATAATTAATATAAATTGGTATAAACTGTCCACGTAAAAACACATTTTTACAAACACATACACGCACACCCCCAACCCCACCGACACAGACACACACACACACACACACACACACACACATATATATATATATATATATATATATATATATATATACATTGTAAACAACATCGTTTTTTATACAGACGACCATCAAGTCATTAAAAAGAAAAACTTGGTTTTGTTTCTTTTTCTTTGGTTAGTTCAGGGAGAAGTCCCGTAACGCCGGACGGCACCTAAAGCCGGACACTCTATTAAACACGTATTATTAATAATACTTAATTAGTGATTTTTTTACAATATTTAAGAATATTCGTCAAACACACATGTGCAGACATTCCATGCCACTTTGTAAAATCATATTTTTTGTTATCAAAGTTTGATTGATAGTATTAATTACTTTTAAGCAAAGATTGCGTTTTTGTTAATTTAGTTTGATTTCTAACTTTGTTATGTAACATAAGTCATTCTTTACGAAACATTTTGTAAAATATTTTTTGATTTATTTATAAATAACCTTATGCCCGGCACTCGGAGACTTTCCCCTATATTAAATTTTAGTTCAATTTTTTAAATCGAATAAAACAATTTCTAAATGAATATTTTTTATATAGGTTGTTATTCATTATGTGTGGTTTTAGTGTTTTTTTTAAATAATTTGTGCGTTTTATTCAATGAAGAAAAGTCAAAAAGAAACTCAAAACGTGCACAAAATTTTGTTAAAATTATTTTAAATGAAACGATTAGATGCGTGTATAAAAAATATGCAATTATATATTTTGCCACCTGAATATTATTACACATACACAAATATACACACACACCCACATATATTGAAATATAAAATCAATAGATTTTCTTAAAACACTAAAAATGTTAAACATAAAAGTGCATTGTAATAAAAACAGTAAAAAGCTCAAAAATTGAAAAAATATGATATAATTTGTGGCCTTGATATTAGCATCATTTTTCATATTAAAATTAGATTTTTTTTTGCAAAATTCTATCTATTTTGTAATCTTATTTTTAATTATTCAAATTATACAGATCTTTAGCTTTTTTAAATTAGTACACACTTTATATAGCATATGCAAAAATAGTAGTGAGAATAATACAAATTTAGTCAGACTCCTGTACAAAATATAAAATTTTAACAATTTTATTATTTTCTAAATAAATACTTCTAACTATTTGAAGGTCACTTTAAAACGTAACTGTTGTTCAGTATGTTCAGATCAATATTAGTTGTTAGAAAAAGTTTTCTGCTCGATTCTCAAAATGATATAAAAAGGCTTTGAAATTAATATTGAACAAAAAAATACTATTATTAATATATTACTACTCAAAGCCACAAAATTTTCTGGTTCTATTATTTACCTGCCGAGTTCTTCCTGGCCATGTCTTCGGCGCTGCTGGTCTTCCTCTGCTCGATTCGCAAATTGGGGATGTTAAAGGGCGGAACATGCATGTTGTCGGAACTGAATTGATGTCGAAGTGGTCTATGTCTTTCCGGAGAAGGCAAAGACAGGTTATCCAGCTTCAATTTGTTCCTCTGATTGCGGTCAATTAGGTCTAACATCTCTTGCAGAACCTGGTGGAAATTAAATTGAACATCGTAACATGATGAACCGATAATAAAATTCTTTTTTTTAAATCTGGTATATAGGGAATTATATTGTTTTACTTATTTCTCATTACGTCATTTAGATCTGTGAATATTTGCATATGATTAAAGAAAATATCTAAGGTTGAGGTTGCTAAAAGCCTGTGTGTATGTAAAGGAAAATTTTGACTTAACGTATTTAATCAGCAAATTTTTGGGAATCGATAAGAATGAGTATATACACCAGTAAATTATATTAGCATTAAAGATTTTTGCCTAGAAACCGCGAACAGATTTTGAAAATTCAAATACTGCATTAACGTAAAAAGATAGTCTCTGATGAAAATTATTCTTGCTCTTTCTTTGCCACCAAATGCATAATTTTCAACTTTTCCAAAGAGAAGATTTTTTTTTCTAGCAGAAGATTTGATAATATTGATTTTTGACATAAATATTGCAAGAAGCATGTGTGTATAGGGTAGAGCGGGGCTTAAAGGTCCGCTGGTAAAATGGTCGATATTTATCTTTAGTACGCAAAATAAGGTTTCAAGTAAAAATATTATTTAAAAGTGTGCAATATTTAAAAGTAGGCAAAGTATATTTTTTTAACGGCATTAATTTGAAATAAAAGGCAAAAGCAGTGGAACCAACTATCACCTTAATTCTTACAATATTAATATTATGAGATATTCGGGAATGTATCAATATTAACACCAAAGGGTTTTTTTCTTTTGTAGTTTTTTGACTTTGTGCTATTGTATTTAGTTTGTTACCTGTAAATAATTTTAGGTAAACGTTGCTTATTTGTTTTATAAGATGAATTGTTATTTTCAAGTTAGATTCAAAAATATAACCTCTATGATGGCTTACAAATGGGTGTGGTAAAAATGAAAGGGTGGCAAAAAAAGAGTGCTGTTTGTTCATATGTCTAAATTAATATATGTATATATATACATATATATATATATATATATATATATATATATATGTGTGTGTATGCGATTTTTCCAATTTCTATTTCACAGAATTTTTTGTCATATCAATTTTTTTAATTTCGATTATATTAATTATACGTTGATTTTTTTCACAAAACTATGTTTAAAAATTGCGATTTTGCGATGGTCTAAGGTCTATCTAAGAACAAAATTGAACAAACATTTTATAATTAGGATAATTTGTTACATGAACTCTTGTAAGATTTTCTTCGTTATACTTGAAACCTCATTAGACTTCATTAAAATTTTAATGCAATTCATAATGTTGCTTGGAGATAAATAATTAATTCGACTATATAAAACATACATGTAACTGCATTTCTTTCAACCATCATGTTTACTAATTTATTTTTAGCTTTGATGTTGCAGACATCATAAACAGGTTCAGATGTTTGAAAGTAACTTTATTAACCGGCGTCGGCACATAGATAATATAAATCTTAATTGCACATATTGCTTACACAAGAGTTTCTTCCAGCGAAACTTCGGCATTTAATGAGAAATTTTATACAAAATAGCAAACTTTCTGTCTTGCCAGAGTTTAATATTATGTAGGGGTAGAGTTAATATATTTTTCATGGGCTGGAATATACGGCGAATCGGGGAAAAATGTAAATTTTTGTACACAGAAGAGTTTAGTTAAGGGAGGAAAATATTGGTTCTGAAAGTTTATCGTAATTACGAAAGAATAATTATTTATATAGGCTTTTGTTTATCCGCGTCCGGAATAAAATATAAAGTAAATTAGTGCAAAAAAGAGTGCTGTTTGTTCATATTTATAACCACTCAGAATACATTTGTATATATATATATATATATATATATATATATATATATATTTCACGATATATATATATATATATATATATATATATATATGTTTAATTTGAGTTTAATATTCGGGCGTAACATCGATAAAAATAGTATGAGTTTTTTTAAAAAATTTATTTATTTAAAATCCATACGTTTCGGCTAGCATCTTAGCCATCATTCAGTGGTAATCAAGTTAATCCTAATATAGCATATGAAACCATTATTAATCCATGGTATGAGTATGTGCACATTGATAAGATATGTATTTTTTAACACAAACATCACAAATGGTAAAACACACTAATAATCATGATAACTTGACAAGTTGTCGAAACTATGTATTTACTCTTCGGAGTTTAGGATAGAAATTTTTTAAAGATATATATATATATATATATATATCTTTAAAAAATTAGTTTCTCATTTAAATAATATTCACGTGTTGGAGTATATAATATCTGGTTCTTCTAAAATTGGTATAAATAAAGTTTATATATTTCACTCATTTTATATTCAAACATTTGAAGGAATTCACTTTTATAATATTATAGTCAAATTAAAGGTACACGTGATTTTTTTTCAATTTTTAAATAACTAAAATTTTTTTTAACTTAAGTTTATTTCATTAATTCAAACAAAATTAATATTAATTAAGTATATAATTTTTTTGTTGGTTTAAATTGTTCTCAAAGAAGTCCAATATCTTCCGATATGTTTTTATGACAAAATGTGGCTCGAAGATCAGAATAAGAAAATAATAAATATTTTTTTTCTAATTATGCCATGAAATATCTTAATGATCCAAAAAATTCATTGGTATTTTATTTAAGTTTTTATTCAAACAATAATTATTTTCCAGTACTGAAAATTACTGATAATTATTGACTAAAATATTAAGTAGAATAAAAAATATTAATAATAACATAATAACACGTTATTCAAAATAAAAAACAACTATAAATATATAGAAAAACACGAAGAATTAATAGTAGAAGTAATAATATTGGTTATAAAATTAATATTTATAAACAATTGCGATGTATTAATTAATTAGGTAATTTGTTTTTATTAATAAAAATTAGTTGTATAGATAAAATTAAAAATAAAACTAAAAAGTATTCGATTTATATATTTTTCATATAATGTAAATTTAAAGTCAAATTTTTGAGAAATTTTGATTCGAATATCAACTTTCTATTGTGCATTTGTTATATAAAATTTGTTTAATTTACCTTCAAATTTTTAATTTTGATTTATAATCGAGATATTATTATATATTCATGCCAAATTTAATTACTATTTAACAAAAATATTGATTTTAGTTATAAAATTATTTTTTATAAAGGTAATAGTTTAAATCTGATAATTAATTTCCAGTAATAAACATAGTTGATAAAATATAAAGTAAAAGTGAAAAAAATTTCAATTGATATATTTTTCATATAATGTAAATGTAATGTCTATCATAGATTATGTAAAATAATATTCAAGAAGAATTCTATCATCAAAGTTCTGTTGTGTATTTGTTATTAAAATACGTTTCATTTGCTTTTAATTATAAATTATTGTTCCTTTATAATTTAGATATTATTATATATTCATGCTAAATCTAATTTCTATTTGTTAAAAGTATAGATTTTAGTATAACATTAATATTTATAAAGACAATAATTAAGATTTGATAATTAATTTTTAGTAATAAAGATTAGTTGTTTAAAAAAATATAAAGTAAAAGTAAAAATTTTTCTAATTAATATATGTTTCATATAATGTAAATGTAAAGTCATTTTATGAAGGAAGAACTTGATTATGAAAATCTTTTCTGTATTTGATATTAAAATCCGTTTTATTTGCTTTTGTTTTGAATTACTAATCCTATATAATTTAGATATTTTTTTATCTATGCCTTTAATTCCAAATTCATCAAAATAGAGATTTTATTTTTAAAATTATTATTTATAAACGTAATAATTAAGATTTGATTATTAATTTCTAGTAATATACATAGTTGTTTCAAATAAAATATAAAGTAACAGTAAAAAGTATTCCATTTGATATATTTTTCATATAATGTAGTAAATGTAAAGTTAATATTAAATATGTAGAAAATTATTTGTGAAGAATTTTGTAATCAAATTTCTGTGGTATCTTTGTTATTAAAAACTGTTTCATTCGATATAATGACAATTATCCTTTATAATTCAGATAATATTAAATATTCATGCGAAATTAATTTGTTTTCGTTAAAAATATAGATTTAATGCATGTTATCAGCAATGCTTGAGTGCAAAGCGAACATATATCTAAAGTTACTATTAAATTCGCGATTTATTACGAAACGACTTCGACCGTCTTCGGCATTGTCTATCATAGCATCTCTTTTGCACAATTGTTAGACGATGGACGATGCCTCCTGAAGAACTGTCAAAAATTAGTTCACGGCTGAAGGCACCACCTGCACTTGAACTAATAACAATGCAATTGAAAATGATATCTGATCTAGAATTGCAAAATTTCGGGTGTCTTCGTTTTTTCATTAACAAATCGACAGTGATCGGGTCAAGTCCTTTACGCTGCAGCCACGGAAGGAACAACATCTCTGTTTAGAAGTGCCGTCGGTCGGACAAATAATTTATTTTAATCGTGTTTAATCATGATGTTAATTTGTTTAATCGTGTAAAAGTGCTTGTGTTAATAAACTTCAATTGAATATTTTGTTCAGTTTTGTGATATGTGTAGTGATTTCACGAACATCGTGGACATGATGCAAGTAAGTCACCTCGTGGACAATAATCCTCATGCATCGGCTTTAATAGTTATCGAATAGTAATTTATTTAACGTAGATTATTGTTAATTATGTGTATTTATTATAATCCAGCAATATTTTTTGAAAAAAAAAATTCAAGGTCTATAAATTAAATAGTGACTACCTGATTCGTGTAGTAATTTACAAACCTCGTGGAGATGGTGCAATCGCATGATGCAAGTAAGTCACCTCGTGGACAATAATCCTCATGCATCGGCTTCAATAGTTATTGAATAGTAATTTATTTAACGTAGATTGTTGTTAATTATGTGTATTTATTAGAATCCAGTAATATTTTTGAAAAAATAATATATAGTTGATTAATTGAACTAGTAACTACCGAAGGCATCCTAAACCACAG